AAGATTTTATTCATATTCCAGGGATTAATTGTAAAACCAGCTAAAATGCTGAGCTAAAATTTTGCATGCCAAGTTGAGAAGTAATTTAGAAAACACATTTGAAATCTCATCTTCTAACTTGTTCATAACATTTTCTCATAATATAGATTCCTCTTTCCTCCTCTTAACATAAATTCAATATTCTTATAAGCAGAGCCTTATTAATGAGCTCTTTCACAGAAGTTTAATTTTCTGTAGCCCAGGAAATACTCACCAGCTTTGTGACTGCAAACCATCAAATCCAGCTATAAATGAATAAATCAATACTATTCAGAGAGAACCATCCCACTGTCCTACCTTAAATAGAGGTTTATCAATTTATTCAGTATTTGATCATCTCCCATTTGAGACTGGAGAGCATTACATCTATGTTTAATCAGAAAATTAAATTACCATTTTAATAGATTGAGATATTATATCATAACTGTGAGTGTGCAAAGATAAGGGCAATGAATATCTCTTTTAGAACCATTTTAGATCTATGCACCTCATTATAGATCGTTAAAAAGTAAAAGAATCAATTACAACCACCAGTATCAGTTTATGAAAATGTAATGAAATGTCCAGAGTAGACAGGACACTGAGTTAATAAGTGAGCATACATAAAGCATCAGTTGGAACCTTGCAGGTCTACCTTCGTAAATCAAATACTTTGTAAAACTAAAGTTATTTCTCAGTTTCATTATAGTTCATTCATTACCAAGAGAATAGTCTCAAGCAAAGGTAGAAATAGTGTTACATCACTGAAATACAAAATATCATAGTTATTTTCCTTATATACTGATCACTAGCAACCATAGACAAAACATAATCACCTGAAAGACATCTTACCATGAAATATGCTCCAGAACATTAATCTAGAGCTGGATTCATGCTGAAAATCATTTACTGAGACTTTTATCTGCCTGCATAATAATTACAAAAATCACTGCATGCCAAAGCAAAGAAATAGAAAACGTAGCAGATAATACATGGAAGTACCAATAGGCCTGGGGCCTGGCTGAAAAGATAAATCCAAACTAACATTTATGACACACTTACTTGCACATACCTAAGAAAACCTTCCGAATTTTCTGGTCTGGTTTTTAGCAGTGGTCTCTTTTTAGCAATGACAGTTTTATTACCAAATATAATATATTGGTTAATGTACCAAAAAAAATGCCATCAAAAAATAATAAATGTGTCTGGTGAAACACTTCTGTCTTGCCATAAGCTACTTTTCTGACTTCCTTCTCCTTTCCTCTTTTGCATCAATGACTTTTGAGAGGAATGATGGATTTTTATGTCTTGAAGACAATCTAATCATCTGATCACAGGTACTTTTTATTACGGATATTCGATTATTAGGCAACTTTCTGTTTTATCTCCAATTTCTGTGCTTGCCTTTGTGACCTAGCTCACTTTTGGGACATGTGAAGAGCCTTAGGTCCTCCGTTCTGTGCTCTCTCGATCTGTCAGCATTATATAACGAATACATTCATGTGCCCGGCACTGATACCCATTGGCATCTTTCCAGTGAATTTTAGGTTCTCAATTTCTCATCACACTGACTGATTTTTGGACATTCAGCTTTTGCATGAGTGGCTATTTTCAATATCACATCGAGAAGACTGGCAGCCTTACTGCTTGTCATCATACGGTACACTAGGTGACTGCCTCTTGATAAGGTGACCCGAGGCTTCCCAGTTTGACTAAACTAGTGTCTGGTCCTGTTTGCTTTTTCAGGATTGTCCTACTGCCATGCTAGGGTTTACTGGGATATGGAAATGTCCTTCGTTTTATTCTCCCTCAGCAGTGCATGTCACATTGTTTTATTGACTTAAGCTTGCCACAGCTTTACAACTTGTCTCCATACATATTTCAGTTGCCAATTTTTCATGAAAACATGAATTAGTTTATGCTACCATTCCAAATTTAAAATGATATAATGAAACCAGAATCAAAATTCATGATCATATTAAATTGGGGAATTTAAAAACAAACCCAGACCCACAGGGATTTAGAATCATATGAAAATGAAAATAATTTTAAAAAGCATTTTTTATGCATGTTGTCTGCAATGACCGCTTCACCAGAAGGTGAATATGCTTACAGAGATAGACTTCTGGAGCACATATACTGCTGGTGCAGCAGAGTGTTCAAGATGACATATTAAATATAAAACCAAGAGTCTGCATATCACCTACTCTGTCCCTTCCTGCTCCTTTAACTCATCCTAAAGGATGAAACTTTGCTTTTAGCTGGGAAATGCATCTCCTTGATGTCTCTCTGAAATGAAGTCATGCTTAAACTATCATGGACCTCCTCACAAGCAGGCAAAAAAAAAGAAGGAAGAAAATACCATCGTTGTTATTGTTTCTGATTTCTATTAGATTTCATATGAATTGCTTTGAAGTTGCCTTTTCTTTATTTTCCTTTTTATTTATAAATTTAAGCAACTATTTTATGTCTTTCTCCTTTCAAAGTGATAAGGCTTCAACAGTAATTGCTTGGACTATAGAATTCATCTTATTTAACTATGCTCCCCCTTGAGTACCCTAAACAAGATTTTGCATATTGCTGTTTCCAACTTCGAGTGGTCGGTGAACATACTGCTCAAGATTTTCCAGTATATACAGCCTATGCAGCCAGATTTTGAGATATTATTTCCTTGTACAGTGCACAACTCAAGGATGATGACTAAATGAAGTACAGTTCTGCAGCCCTCCTTAGGCAATGCTGCCACAAAGTTGTCTAAGCTCTTTTACATGTATGTTAATCTGTAAAGATCACAGGACAGACTAGAAAGCTCGTTATGTTTACCCTTTTTTATCACCTTTCCCCAGCTACTTTGGCAACTAGAAAAGTGTACAACATATTCATTCACACACTGTTTCTGTTATTTTTGTGATGGAATCATCTTTGTTGCAATATTTACACAGCTCATTTTTTTTTTTTTTTTTTTTTTTCCATCAAAGTCCTCTTGATGCCAGAAAAAAATACTGCCACCTGATCTTGGTATGTCACACAAAAATAAAAAACTTATATAACACTTATATAACACTAAAACTAGGATAGAAAGCTACACTGCCAATATAATTGCAGAAAAGCATTTTCTATTACCTGCCTCAGTACAAATGATTTGTAGAACATTAATCCCATGAAAGACAAATCTGACAGCTGGCAAGAGGCCTTGCAAATTGGAATGGTTGTTATGACCTTGCTGCCAGTTGGCCATCTTTACTACATCAGAATGCAACTGTCTGTATAAAGAAGCATCCCTCAGATTCCTACAGAAATTAAAAAAGATATGCACAGAAAATTAGAAGAAATGGAGTCCTAATGGAAAGTTATAGCTGAGCATGGGGCACCTAATCTTGCAGGGATGGGGCTTGTGAGGGGTTGTTTGTATATATAGATATATATATGCTAGTTAGAGAAAGAAATAACTTACTAATTTACCATTACTTTTCCAAGTCTTGAGTGTCATGTAACTAAGAACAGCATCTGGCACAAGAGATTTAAGTCTATTCTGTTTTCACATTAGCTGCCAAAACCTCTGATGGTTATTTGGGTATCTTAGGGCTGCTCTATAGGCTATTCTGTCTTCACTCTTTATGTCTTGATGTTTACTGTTTGTAACTTACAGACTGGTATACATCTTACCAGTACCCAGAGATAGGTAACAAAGCCAGAAATTCTTTGGATCTTAAGATACAGTGATCCGCTTTCACCTCTAGTGCTTCAGTAATAGGTGAATAGGTGAAGAACAATTTTTCCTTCCCAGTATATATTCCTATAATACTCTGTAGGAATGGCATTTGGAGGAAGTAGAATGGGCTGTTTTAGTCTTTCACTGTTAGCAGAAACATATATTGCTTTTGTGTTGTTTTTGCAGGGAAAAGTAAAATCAAGGACAAGGTTAAGGGTCACAGAATTATAAGGCTATAGAAAAGCAGTCCCAAAGTGGATATGCATAGAGTTTGGAGATTAGATAACCACACTATACATGTTCATTTCGTGCAGTTCCTGGAGAAAAGAAAATAAAAACTATAGGTATAATTGCTCAGTTTATAACAAGCAGAACACACAGCTGTAAGGGCCAAAAGGACACAAACTGTGCATCCTTAAAATTATAGCCTGTAAAAGACTTTTTGTCTATCATGCACCACAAGGCAGGAATACTCCGCCATTTGGGACCTAAGGACTGTATTTTTTTTCCCCAGTTCTTATTTACCTATTTACCAAAATCATAGCTCTGGCAGAAGAGTTAGAATGAGAGAAATCATCACAGGGAAGATGGGTAATTGAGATTCACGCAGATGAAGTAGTTAAATATGCAAATTCTACATAGGGTAGTCACTGGATGTCATTGTTTATCCGCGCAGTCTGAGGCTGAAGGACAAAAAAGCGTAAGGAAGCTTTCTCTTTCTCTATTGCTTTTAGAATACAAGTCTCCCATGGCAGGGACATGGCAGTACAGTTTTGGTCCTTGATAAAAATTTAGGGCAAACATTCCTTAATTCCTTCATTTTTGTAAAGACCAGCATTTATCTTGTGCCATTGACATCCTATTTTGCACTCTGTTATCTTATCTCTTACAGACCTAATTCCTGTATTCTGTATGGATGATCACTTTTAAGCATCTGCTTTAACAGCCAAGGACAGCATCAATTTAAACGGATAAAAGTAACTATGAATGTTACGAGATTTTTTTTTTTTTTTAATACATGCACATCAGAAGCTTAAATGACTGCATATAAATATTAATCAATTACATTTACTGGCAACTGTTTTTATTACAACCTATCTGTGATAAGAGCTTAAGATTGTTGTGAGAAAAAGGTGAACGGGTCATCATGGCAGCACTCATGTCAAGAAAGAGGCCAAAGAAACTGAACTTTTTCTGGGAATACATCACTTCCTGAACATGACAAAACAGATATACTGTGCATGTATATAACTATAAAATCTTTTGTCACCTGGGCTATTTCGTACCAGCTGATAGCAATTCCGCAAGCTCAAAGACCGTTTTTTTCTGGATGGTTTCCCATGGTGAAGACAGAACTGCTGCTTCTCAAATCCTAAAATAAAATAGATATTGACAATCAATAAAACTTGCAGGAGAACAATTTAAAACAGATTAAGAACTATATATATCTATATAAAGAACATACATATATTAAACAGAGTAAGCAGTGATTACCTGCTCACTCTGTTGCTGCAGAGGATTCAAAACGCGAGTTAGGCATATTCATGGGACAGGTCCATCAAGAGACGCTAAAGGAATAAGCAGAAATGTACCATTAAACAACGCTAACAATATCAGTGGGTGCTGGAGGACTGTGAGGGGGGAATGGACAGCAGGAAGTAGCCTGACCTGTATATCCTCCTTAAATAGAATCTCTACTGCCACAGTCTATCAGGCTACACTATCAAACTGCCAGAGACTATGGGCCAGAGACAGATCAAGGCTGATGCTGTAGGACCCTTCTTATGCAGTTACAGCCTCTTTCGGTTGTTTTTGCTGATTCTGCAGTGGGGAGGGGTTCACTGGAGAGGATAGAAGGCTGTACATCAAAACTGGCACTTTAATATGCTAGAAGCCTCGGGATATGTATGCTGCATCAAGTTTCTACATGGATAAATACTTCTGAAGGAAGCCCAGTGAGAACAGACTGCTGTATAACTGAGACTAAAAACACCTCCAAATCACCAACAGAGAACAAACAACCGTAAGCAATCATTTGTTTTGGCAACAGAGCTCATTTAAAATTACCAAATTATGTCTTTCCTTTAAGTATACATTCATTTCTGAAGAGGGAAGTTAGGTCTCTATGTTAGAAAAGAATGGCTCTAACCAAATTTGCTCTATTCTCTAGCACAGTCATCTATCTGGTCATTTGTATCTATACTTTATGCCTGTTCTTCCAACTGGTTCACTGCCAGAACTGTTAATACTGCTATTATTCACTCTATTAATGTCTACTATTGATTAGCACTATGGATAAACTCAGCTTTTCACCTACTGGACTTTTTACTTAAGCATGGTTAACAGCTAGGGCTTCAAAGAAATGATTAGTAGTGTATAGATAGTAAAAAGCCTTTCTATATCTGAGAAACTACTCACAGATCCTTCAATATAAATAACACTACATCTAATGAGGAGTGTCCCAGCAGTTTTATCTTTTGTAGCACTTTCCCCGCAATACAGGATATATAGTGAAAAATGGCCTTTTTCTCACTTAGTGATTCATTTTCTTTAACTCCATAAATAGCATTTTCCCATTTTCCCTTTTTCTTGTACAGAAACTGTTCGGCTATGACTATTTGTTTTTTTTTAAGTTGAGATTCAACTGAAACCCTTGCATTACACATCTCCCTCCACACACAAAAAGAGTAATCACGTACTTATAGTCACAGCTGTCTTTGCTATATCACAGTTCATGGGTACTCTGCAGTACAGGTAATGCTATCTCCTCTTCCAAACAATCTTTGCCATACAAATATCTGCTCTCTACTGTAGGTATTAAACTGGGTCTCCAGTTTAGCCCTGTAGAGCTGACTCTGCCAAGAGGTTAGTCTCTACTGTCGGTATTAAACTGGGTCTCCAGTTTAGCCCTGTAGAGCTGACTCTGCCAAGAGGTTAGATTCCACCCTTCTACACCATATACATATATATATATTTAAGATCTGCCCACAGCTATCTCACGAACAGCTTGAGTATTCAGCTGCCTTAGCAGATACAGGGCCCATCAGGCAGTCTGATTTGCTTGTGTTTAAAGAAAGGGTTGACTACTCCAGCTTGCCAAGTCCTTCTCTTCTGGCTCGTACAGCCACTCACTGCTGCTGCATAACAGAGCTCTGTGCTGCTGGCACAGAGGCTGCAGCCGCAAGGGGCCTCTCAGCTCTCGCTCTTCTTCCTTCCTTGGTCTCTTTGGTAGCCCCGCCGCCTGAGATTTTTCCCATCTCCSTCACGTTCTCTTGATGCCCCAGCTCTGGGCATCCCTCTTCCTCACCAGCAAACTCCAATTTACCCTCTGGGCRATGCAGGGGTAAGGCAGTAGGGCTAAGGCAACTCAGGAGGACAAGGTTCAATGCATGAAACGGACGACGGAGATGTAGACTGAAGAAGGAATAAGAAAGAATGTGAACACAAAAATAATTTACAACTGCAGTTATTGTGCAGGAAGAGCAAAGGAAAACTTGTGTCCAGTTAAGATGGAGTATACATAAATCATCTTGCATTATGAAAGATAAGAGGTACATATACTTTAGATGTACCCTTTTGTCTTTTTCCCTCTGATAAGTTTTCCTTACATCCCTCTCTATATTTAGCAAATGCAATGTGGCTTGCGCTGGAAGAGGAGCTGCTACTTATCATATTAGCCTTGAACTCATTTTGAAACTGCAGCCTGGTTGTGGGTATGTGAAAAAGCACAAATAAGTGTCTCACACTCATCTCTTCCCATTTATTGCTCCTTAGAGGAGAAATCTCCCTCAGAGTTTGGCATTTAACAGGTTCCAAACAACATCTGAATTATCACCATACTTTTTCATTTAATCTAAATATAATATGGCATCCAGAATGGCACAGTTCTGTGTGTGTGTGTAATCTAGTGATTTTAGATAAACACCAAATGGTTAATGAATGTTATTACAGAGTTTATGGGCAAACTCAGAGCAGTTTTAATTCTACTCTAATTAACCTTGGTGGAACACAGAAGTAGGTCCTGATTTACTGTATCTTTCTGAATGCTTTGGGGTAGTATGAGCAACAAAGAGATCAAAACATAAAACATCACTTTGGTTTCCAAGCTGAATGAATATTATGGCTTCAATTCTCAGTATTTACTTCAGTTTTAAATTGACATATGTCCATTATGATCACAGTTGTCTGCTATGAGCACAGTTTTACAGCAGTTTAGTTAGGAAGAAAACTAGGCCTGCATCACAGAGTTAAACAGCCCAATACTTGAACTGCATAGAACTGCAGAGATGGTGGGTTATTTCCAATACCTGTCGATCTCTACTTTTAATCAGATCTCATTTCTACACAATTATCATTTCGGGCTTCTGTTGATTGCTTTTACTAGGCGTAATGAGTAGAAAGAAACACTATCTCATTGTGCAGAATATTGGATTGGCTGGTGTAATAGACTCAGTTCTATTTTTTGCCTTGCTCTTTGAAAAGTTAATTTTCTCTTCCATCAAATAACTAGCAGACTACTAATAGCATATAAGGTATTAGAGGGATTTGCATTAAAGAATGCAACTGAGTGCTTTATCTACTTTTAAAACCAGAGTGACATAGGTAGGGTCTTTTACTATTGCATTATCTAAGGTAAAGTTTAACAATTGCTGCAAGCCTCCCTTAGTTTGGAATTCATGGAATAGGAATATGGATGAGTTCTCCCTGGAACACAGAAGTATTGTGGGGAGGAGGTGGTTGGTGCTGCCACTGCCTGTGCAAGCACAAGGGAGCATGTTCAAAGCCTCACTGAAGGAGCAAAACCCTTCATTCCAGGCTGAAGTCAAGCACCACTGGGCACTGGGTTCTTTTTCACACCAGGCACCAGAAGTGCCCCAGAGAGGATGTAAAGATTTGACAGGATGCATCTCCCTCAGTGGACAGACTCCACTTCCAACAGAGCATGGAGAGGTTACAGTACAGACTCTGTGACTGCGACTCCCTGCAGTGAGGGGGATGAGGAAGGGCCTGCCGGGTATGACCCTGCCATGTGCCCAGCTGCCTTCTTGGGAAAAACCAAGCTGTGTCTTGCACAGCACAGTCAGTCCTTCACAGGGTCGTTCACAGAGTAGAATCAGCATAGAGCAGCTCCCATGAGTTCTGACTACCCTTAGCAGCACAGATGTTACGGAAACACCCTTTGAGAAGACAGAAGTGAAGAAGATACTGTAAAACATAGACTCAGAAATATACCTAACCTTAGGCTAAAACAAAGTCAAATATAGAGTGCTTATCTAATTTCTCCAAAACTCTGAATGCAGTCCTAGACTAAGTTGGTATGCCTGCCTCCTTACGTAAACCTCACTGTTACACCAGAGTGTCTAAGTCATTTAGATAGCGAATTGTTTGCCACTACATTATTACCAAGACAAGATTCAATAGTGCCTGAAGGAACAGCACTTCTCTGTTCGTCCCAGAAAAAGCTAATGGGAAATGTCCCAAGCTGGTTGGCATGCTCTCACCTCCAACATCTCTCTCACACTCCACAGTTCTAGGCTTTATTTTCCTAAACTCTAATGCCCAACCTATGTTGAGATGAAGTTCAATGGCAAGAATAACACTACTTTCTCTTGGAGTAGCTCAGTGGGAGATAACCAAAACCTAATCAGATCTTTCCTCTCCTGGCGCATTGTTACTCTCTGCTATTTTGTACCTTAATTTTCTCCATCTTATTGACTGAGACATCCATCAACAGGACATCCTTTAGGACAAAAGATGCCAAGGTCCAGCCCAGGACCCACTAATTACAAGAGCAGAGAAGAAAAGAAGACATTGGGCACAGTCCCTTCCCAGCACTGCGCTCACTGAACAGGTAAAGCAGACATGCCCTGACACACGCCTTGCCAAACACTGGCCTGTCCATATTTTACAACATAATCCAGTGTCCAGGGTTTCTGTCCTACACAAAAATAGTTGCTTTGTAAAATCCCTTTTAAACATGTAGAGCCTTTTGTTGATTTAGATGTTTAAAGGGCTTCTCCATGGTAAGAAGGACCCTCCTCAGCCATACTGAACTGAGAAAATACAACAACAATAAATATTATCTGTAAGAGGAAAAGTATACTGAGTATACTTTTAAACAGGGATTGCTTATCTTCCAAACCTGAGGCAGACTGGCATGCTGAAGAGAGTAATTTCTCCCTAAGAAAACCATTTAACACTGTTCTAAAATCAAATCAGAGGACACTTTCTAATACTAATCTCACCATGACTCCATAATCTCTAGTTCATCTACCCCTGAAGATAATCCTAATACTGTCCCTAGACCATGCTTCTGCTTAATGGAACCTGAAGAAATGCAATTATTTACTTTTCATGGGTTAATATAACAGCTATTATGTTTAAACAACTTTAGAGACTCCTTCTCTCTTCTCTTCCCTGAATTTTATCGAAAAATAGAATATTAAAAAAATCTCCAGGTTATTTTCACTAAATTTGTTAAAACCCTTGCCTTACTAAATGTAGCACTTGCATGATCCCTAACTTCTACCTATGATGAAAGCTGAGGCCCTTCAGTATCTCCCAAGGAAATGACATTTCTTATTTCTCATAATGTAATATAATGGCAACTGTCCTAAACTAACTCAAGGCTCTTTCCTTTAAGTACTTTCATTCAAATTACATATATGTTATTTTACTGAACTTCATGTATTACACAAATGGTAACATTTATCTAAGACCTGATTCAATGACTCCAGAAAGAAGGATGTGTTGTTTAAGTAACCCAATAATTACCTCCAACTCCAGTATAGGGTAGGATGACTTCAAAAGCATTTACAGAAAACAGAGATGATGCCAGACACTTCCCTGCTTCTGGTACATTTCTCACTCGTGGTGGGAAAGGATAGACCATCAGAAGCTCATGTTGCTCAGCAGCATCCACAGACCAAGTCGCAGAGACTGTCTCAAAGAAAACGAGCCATATACTCTATCCATTATATACAAATATCTACAACCAGATATTTATAGGGTTATTTTAACTATAACAGGCCTGACACCTGAAATTATGAAAAAATATTTTCACTCAAGAAGCCAGCAAATACGGAACTGACTGTCAAAAAATAGTGTGAAACAGATGAGTACAGTTAGAAATGCCCCACCACCAGTGCTTGAAATTTTTCTCTATTAGTTTTGGAAACAAACTAATGAAGCTTCAGGCTTCCCCGGTATTTTCCTTCTTGCATTTATTGCCATATGAGCATTATGTTAATTTGACTAAAAGAACTTCTGCTATCCTTACTAACAATTCAATATAAGCTAAAGTTAAATTAATTATAAGGAATTAACCTCAACACTTATGTACACAACAATAACTAGAGTTTTGATTTCTTATTCCCAGATTTTGATTTTATTTCTTAAAGTAACACGTTGCCTTTAAATCAGGCAATTCTATTTTTAGTTTTTACATTTTGGGAGACTACTGTCACAACCATTTCTATTATCTAAAATAATCTAGTAATAATATAGTCCATGCATGTGCCTCTGCAATATAATGTGCATATAGTAATATTCCATTTTTTTTAGAGCATAATGTAATTGTGGCCTCGTTTTCCACATTTTTCGCTTGTTTGCTTTATCTCCACACAATATTCAAACAATTGAAAGAATTTTATAATAACCTGGAAATGGACATACTTTAAATACAAGCTTTAAAGGCAACTTTGAATGCTTTAAATGCAAACAAATATGACAAACCTTACAAAAATAAACTGTTCCACATTATAGAAGGAATCTCTCTTTTTATGCTGTAGCATAGAACACAGCCTTGTGACTATTATTATATATTGTTTTCCTATAAATTTTCTTTGTGTGTTGAAATGTAATATATTTTAATTAAAGACTAATCTACCAAACAGAAGAATTAAAAAAATAATACAAGTTAAGAAAATGCCTGTGCACATTCAGAGAGTTGGTAATGATCTGATCCTTTTCATCAAGGAGTAAAGGACAGCCCCTTTTTGTTAGATGTTCTTAGGACGAACGACAGAGATTTTATACCTTTTAAAGTACTTTTAGGGAAGATCTTATTTTATTCCCAGACTGAGTAGCAGAAAGGGTTGTTCGGTTGTTCTTCTCAAGTGCTTTACCATCTGCAAAAATAGCCTAGCTGATTTTTATAATGAAATAAGAGAAGGTGAACAGGCGCCGAGAGATGAAGTGGCCAAACACTACCTTAGAGAACCAGGGGTTACACCTCAGTCTCAGGGCGCATTCAGGCTCGTCTTTCACTTTTCAGCCACAGACTGGATGGAAATGAATATTAAAAAAAGAGGAAGGAAGACTGTTAACACGCAAAAGACTAGTGTTCATGGTAATCTTAGGGGCCACAGAAGACCTGTACCAGTATGAGGTCTACTTCTGGCTTTGACTAGAGATTCCAGTGAAACCTTGATTAATTTTTTGTTGAAAGGTCTACATTGGRGGAAAAAAGAAAATCTCTGTTCTGACAGGCTTGTACTTAAAAATGGTAATAAACTATTGTTCAAATTTCTAGCTAGCCCTTGTTAGATCTCTGAATAAACGGATCAACTCTAGAAACATGCCAACTATAAAAAGCTTGAGTACTGTCTAGTAGGGACCATGGAGAAAATTGATTTCAGGTACAAAAGACAGGCCCAACTGGTTCATGGAACAATTGTAATTGTGAAATATTCTATATTTCAACCTAAATCTTATCTCATGCATTGAATACCTTGAAGTTTTTTCATTCAATTGATATTCTCTTAACTCAGTATACTATTTTATGATGATAACAAAGCACAAAATATGTGAAAGTATTATCAAACTACTTTGTTATTATTTCTATTTTCTACTAGTGGAACATACCTGATAGAAAGCTTCCAGATGACTTAATTCATTTATTACATTTGCGTCATCTTCTGCGTTTGCTACATAAAACAAAAGGGATGGTATGATGAGAGTAAAAAAGAGGCAGAGCTGTTCTCTTCCACTGTTACCACTGAAAGTAATATACAAACTAATGCTTTTATCATCATGTATATATTCTTGCTTTAAAGGAATAAATTGCTAAATCCACGCAAAGTCAATAGCACCTTAGGACATGGAGTATTTGGCATTTTCCTTTCTCTTGCTTTTTTTCTTTTTTTTTCCCCTATTTGAAAGTTTTTCTATACATCTATTAGCTTTTTGTTGGTAAATATTGAGATTGAATGCTTTTTATATCATCAATTTTCTCTAAATACATATTCAGAGCTTTTATTTGATGTTGATAAACGCTGAAACAGTGGGTCCACCTGGAACAATCTATAAAGGTACTGATTCTAAGTGACAGCCAACACATTGCAGGATACCATATGTTTATAGAAATTAAAAAAAAAATAAATAAATAAAAAAAAGGAACTTACCATAATAAAGTCTTTTTAAGGAGCATATATATTTGACTAAAAGTCATTGCCCATCTTTAACCAGTTAAGTTAGATGAGCTTATATGTTAAATCATAGTTTCAGCATTAGCAGACCAGATACAATGCTATGATACAACTAGCTGCCATCCCAAGTGATTTTTTGCCTTAATAATGCAATCTGCCTTAATAATGATGTTTTCTTCAGGTATAGTAATAGCATAAACAACTAAATGAGAAAAAATTGCCAACACCATAAATAAGTAAAATTATTAGTGACATTTAACTTTGTAGGAAAAAAAGTCCTAACAATGAGGACTATCTAGCTGCTACTGTATGCAACATTCGTATGTTCTTTCCTCAAGTGAACCAAAATAACAATTAATCATAGCACTACATAAATAGATTAAGCTCATCCTATTTGTGTAGCACTCCCAATAAATACATGAGGCAAAGCACTGTATCACAGCACTTTCCCTTTTCAAGGCTCTTTTTCAGTTTCATGTAACTTTTCCAAAATTTAGTCCTTAGAATTATTCTCTGCTATATATACTTGTATTGTCTATGAAGGTGATTCTTTTGTTTTAGGGGACTAGGATTAGGGAACTTAWCTACTAAAGTGGCTTCACAGATCAATCCTTTGCCTCAGCAGTTTTAGTATTGCTATTCTTCTCTGAAAGGTTTTAAAATTTGGCAAAGAACTGTCAAACAGGAGCCTTTTGCCATTTCTGGGAAAAGTCAGCCCAAATTTGACAAAAAGGTAAACCTTTAACTCCATGTCTGTGAGTGAGTTGGGTGGAAGTATTAAGCTGGATAMCGTTAGGGACTTTGCTCTAGTTTGACAATTTAGTGACACTTTCAGAGTCTACCAATCTGGTATTCTTAAACTCAAATTTGCCATTTTTTTTTCTTTAAAATTATTTAAAGTGTTTAACTCTAAACATTAGAAACATCAGTCTCTTCGTTTGTGCACAGATTTAAATACAGCAACCAACTGCTGGCTGTTTTCAAGCAAATTAAATGCACTCTTCACAAAAGATTACTGAGGCAAATATTCAAGTGTATCATTATACTGTCATTTAGAGTAAGGTTTTAATCCTAGCACAAACCTCCAAACAACCGAGGGAATTAAAATACAGCCAGTAATCTTTGGGTGTTACAGTATATCAAGTTCCTATTCATCCATTCCTCACTGCCATTTCCTCGGAAAAGCTGTACCGAGTGAGATTTGGGCTGTCTGCCCGAGACCATGAAATCAAAGCTTAGTGCATGCTACAACAGGTGCGATGCCTTCACATAAACGTATTCCTTCCACTGAAGCACATCTCCGTAGAGCTTTCAGCCATGCAGTTACTTCCAGATGGAGTGGAGGTTTCCAAGATAAGGCAATAACTTTTCTGATTAATAATAAAGTAATGGGTAGCTGAAAGCTCATTTTTTCTCAGGCCTTCCACGGATGATTCATTGCTCTTTTGCAAGTAAAGCGATCATTCCTCTGACCCCAAGAACAACAGCGATATTTCATAAGAGAGGGTGAAGCTCATGTCATTGGCATGCTTTACTTTTTCTGTCTTTGAATCCTGCTATTTTTCTGCAATTGCATTATGGATATTTAATTTTTCAAATAAATTAATCTGGTAACAGAAGGCCTGTGATACGAAAAGTTGAATTCTGGGGTTCTTTACAACATAAATTTTTAATAGTTCTTATCGAGAAGCCAAACAAATTTGACAGACATCCATAAGAAGACCTTGACATGCGTTTTGCTTTACCCCATTTGTAACAAAGGATTCCTTTACAATGTTTTTTCCAGAAGTTTTAAAACTCAGACTATCATTACAAAATTCAGCCATTAAAGTGAAAATAAAACAAACCGCAAAGCAATTTTCTTTATGTGGTAACTGATATGAACTTGTCCTGCCAAGTTTTGCAATTTATAAGCCCAGTTTCAATTTCTTTGTTATTGCTTTTCTCCAAGTTATTATTTTGGAGAGTCACACAAATTATTAAACATTCAACTAAAATCAAACAAAAGAGCCCAACTCCTAAAGCAGTACTTCATTTTGTCACCTAAATCTGATTTGTAATATTGGCAACCCTTACCTAGCTTCTACTTAACATGGGTGGTACCGGAAAACTCCTTTAAGTTGATGGAATATCTACAGATTTGTTTCTGCAAATACACAGGCATGACTCAGTCTTACTGCAGCATCAATAACACAGCTCAGCTCCTGTGTTATGTTTAATCCAGTAAGGATTCAAGAGCTAAAGATTATTAGGACTGACGGGGTTTTGAGTAGTGACTTTCAGTAAAGCAGTAAGTTGTTTCCTGAAAAAAAATGAATTTGAATTTTCTGTTTCAAACATTGCAAGGGAAAGCACTTGGACACCTTTCAGGGATATGACAGATATGGGTTTAACATACAGAAAGTGTTCTGGATTTCACTGGGGCCAGCTACCTTCCTGCTTACGTACACCTGGCTTTGGTACTCTACACAGGGCTCCAGAGGCGTAAAGRTCACTAAAGGCTTTTGTTCTGGCATTTGACCTTAATAGTCAATCCTGCTGGACAATGGTTATCTCTCTATTATTATTTCTTCTCTTTGACTGTACTAACAACGGATACATATTTAAAGTTGATCATGTTTACACTAGAGTTGAAACACAGTGGTTTTCAGATTTTTTTTCTTTTTTGCCTCCCTTACCTAAGGCTATAACATATCTATTACTGTATTTTTAATCTTAATTACAATATTTTCAGATGGAATAAAACATTAAACTTAATTGAAATAGCAAAAATACGGAAAAAGACAATAGTTCAATTTGAATTTCATTTAAATATTTAACATGTTTAATCGTGACATATGTTTCAAACAAAATGTTGGCTTAGTCTATGAAATACCATGGGTTTTGGTACTCTTATAGTTAAGGGCCAAATTTACTCAGATCTGTTTGGCCAATCTTCATCACCCCTTCTCACAAAGCTAAGGAAGCGCATGAGAAGACACTGTTGTACTCATTATCTCAAAGACTATAAGGATTATATGCATTAGAAATATCTAATGTTTGCCATTGCAAATGCATTTTTACACAGCTCTAGTAAGTTCCTAAATTATGTTAGTACACTTTGGAGTTGGCTTAATAAACTAACCATGAGACCTCTCAACACAGGGACAAATAAGGACTAAATTATTATTTTGTGATAGGGTTGTAAAGTTATGCATGGTTCAGGTGCGCTAACACCCATGGGCTGACCAAATCATCGCACCTGTGACCTGAACCAGTGACTTGAAAGCTGGATTATTGATCCAGTACTGCAATTAGCTCCCTTCTGTGAAGGTGGAAAATCCTTTAACATCAGGACAGAAGCTTGGCTGTCTCAGCTTGATGCCCGTTTTCATCACTGCCAACAGCTGCCATCAACCCCCTGCTCCTGCAGCAAACAGTTCCGGGAGCTATTAGTGCTTTTACAGATCTTAATAGACAGCGGTGCTGCACATTTGCAGACAACTGTTATATGTGATTAGCGTCAAACCAACCTACGACACCAAAATGTTCTGAACAGGAGGATGTGAGGTAAGAAAATAATGCTATTGGAAAGTACTCATGAAAATATTTCTGATGCAGTATTCCCTTAAAAAGGCAATATGGACTTTCCCAACACACCCTTCTAATTTTTATTTTACAATAAAGTGGCTTCAAAGTGATGAGTAATAAGTGTCACAGTGCAATTCAATACACGTGACCTCAGAAGTAAGTGAAAGTAAATGGCAGTAAAATAGAAGTATATTAACAAACTAAATGCTGCTAAGATCATTTTCTTACACTGATTAATGACTTCAAATTTATCATAACAGCTATCACAAAGGAAAATAAGATCAAATATATGTAATTTTAAAACATTATGCTGTGGTCTTCATGTTCTGTTAAGTTTTCTCTAGGTGCACTGCAGAGTTTAACACTGACTTTTTTAAAAAGTCCATTTCTATGATGTTCAAAATAGGCGCCATGGAAAGGGTAGGCCCTAAAAAGCTGACAKAAAATTCCCTATTATCTTAGCTTACATCTTACAGAGTGGGAAAGAAAATACTTGTAGACATTTTAGTTTAAAGGACTCATTTTAACTTGCTGCAGAAAGCTATGCTCACAGCCTAAATTTTCATCACTAGAAGCATAATCTGAAATAAATTGCATAGGTGGCAGGGCTGTATTATGGCTCAGGACYAGATTATAACTACAGCAAAGATCCCCTAAGCAAATGAGAAATTGGCAGCAAGACAGTGTCACACCAGAGAACAAGTTTCCACTGGGCCACCCACAACTCTTCCTAAACTGCCCCACTGTTCTCCACCCTTATTCCTATAGAAGGATCCCTCTTTTGTAGTTTTGCAAAGAGGAAAGAGGGCTCTGTGTGCTTTTTTTTCCCCACCACTTGTCTAGTTTTGCCCTCTTCCCGTCCACTTTATGGCAAGCAATGACATAATCCATGCAGTCCTTTTCCTCCTCTATGCACTGGGCTGAGTGCACCAGTAAGAGGCATCTGATTGATTTGRATGGTATTGCTGAGCTCAGTAGCCAGCTAGTTAGCACTTAGCACTTTCTGCCCCTGAGGTAAATGTGAGAAAAACTGAGTGATTATACGAATRCTTCTATCCTACTATTGGCAAGGATTTTTGTCCTACGCATTAAATATTTGTTAGCTAAGTAAGAATTTGTTATTTGCTTCCTGTACTGCAAAATATTGTTTTCATGATTTACCATGATACCCACTTTCTGTTTTTCCTAAGGAATTGCACTTAAGAAAAATAAATATTACAGTTAGACTATGTGGTTTATATCGTTATAATTCAGTAAAAAAAAGACCTGAATTCAACTAGCAGTGCAGTTGTGCCACAAGGGAAAAACAATCTGCAGCAAGACATCAAATTGGTTTCAGCAAAATAGCTGAAGAGCCCATGCCAAAGAATGTTGCTGCTGCATTGTGTTTGCATTTCTGTGATGGGATTTACATAACTCAACGCGACATGATATTGGCTAAGACACAAATCTAGTCTTTAATAAAACAATCCAGCACAGAGCTCACTGTGTTGTGTCACCAAGATACCCTCTATCAGGCTTCTGTATCTTACCCATCCAAATAAAATCTTCAYACGTTTTTATCCACTTAATGCTTGCTACCTTTCACCCAGTGCCTTCTTACCCACAAAGATACAGTATATGGCTATAAGATGCTTTTCCTTGCTGATAATCTATTTGCCATTGATACATAAGCATTGAAATGGCAATAGTAATTTTGTTTACACTTTGTATTCAAATTCATCTTTCCTCTATTATAATGATCATCACTTCCCCTTTAACTTTTCTTGCCACATCTTTCATTTCCCTCATGGCATTAATGGAAGTTTCAACAAGGACAWCATTACAATCACAATCTCTCCTTTAAGCAGGTCACCAAAGCTGTACTTTTGCAAAACACTAATGAAGAATCTAATTCTAAATCTTTGCTGCAGACAAAGCTCCAGTTCTGTGGTCTGTATAATAATTTTGAAAGAAATCTTGATACTTACTCAGATAGCTCCTGTGTTGCCCACAACTTCACTTCAGAACTACTGTTGCAGGCATCTGCTGATTCCTTGCCAAAAAGCAACAAAACTGACGCTTCCCTGAGGTAAGATAGATGCACAATCTTGCTTCCAAGCTTTCCAATGCTCCTGATAGCAGTTATATACCATAGGGCTGGTCAATATCTCCTTACAGCCAGCACTTGAGTAAAATACACTAATAATGTTTAATCCTAAAACCAACTTTCTATTTAAGTTTTGCTCTTCATAGCCACACATCTATAGCATTATATAATGCCATCAAAGACTGTAAGAAATCCGTAGGAATTTTCCAGTGAGAGAAAATAAGCCAACTCAAAAATTTGTAGAGAAAATTCATCTTCAGTGCTTCCATTCTTTAAAATTAGGAGGTTCTTCAAAATGCATTCCTTCATCTGAAAGTATCTTCACTCATTCTTCTATACATTTATTTTTGTGACTGTTGATAATTTTTTGTTGTCTGTCATCTCTACATCTGCACTCAAAATYGACTTCATTTCCACACCAGGTCACTCTCTTCGCAAACTTGGACGTCTKCACTTCATCTAGCCACACAATCACTTGGACTCTAATCCATCAGAATTTCCATTTTGCCTATATAGACAATCTTCAATAGTTGTTTCATATTTACAGTTTGTGATCCTGCTGTTTCTGAGACAGCCCTTGGTTTTGGTTTCCTTAGAAGCCCATCCTCACGTTGTTAGGGCGAATCTCACAACCTCAAAACCTATTCCTACTTCATACATCCACACTCTCCTCTTTAAAGCAGATTTCCTTCAGGTGACACCTGTTACTTCTAGGGCTTTGCTGAACTGAAACCTGTAGAGAATAGGACTCAGCCCACTTCCTTGAAAGCTTTATCGGCCCCAGTTCTCAGAGGGCAATATCATCCAGGCGTCTAGTGACCTAGGTCACAGGAGGAATCACAAAAACGCACCAAGAAAAAAATACACACACATACGCACGCACACACACAAAGAATTCATCAGTATAATCCATTCTTGCTGCTAGTTGGCATTTTGATGTTGTTGTTGAAAGTTTTCTGCATAACAGTCCTTATTTAGCCCACTGCAGCAACAGCTAGCCACTAGTCAGGCCTRACTCAATGCAGACAAAAATATCCTGCAAGAAAGACCTCATCTTTCTATGCATTCACAGGCTCTGTTCAGCTCAGTTGTGCAAAACGTTTTTGAGCTTCTCAACTATCTGTAAAAGGCTGAGGTCAGCCGGAGCACTCCAACTAACACTGCCTGATTTAATTTTCTCTGGCTAACAGGGTCATTCTCAGCGAAGACTTGTCAGTTAAGAATTCACTTTTCCATGTGCTCTGTCAGAGTTCAAGTCTGCTGTGAAGGTACAAAAGTCAATTTCTTCTCTCACTTTCCTTTTCTGCCTTCAGGATGTTTGTGACTGTTGATTTTAGATGTATCCTTTCTGTTCTGCAAAAATAAAGTTATATATTATTAGATTTTACTTCTGTAACTGAACACTTTTTAATACTTGTTGGAAGAGACAAATTTAAGTAGTAGAGTGACTGAAAACTTTAGGAACCTCTGAGGATCTCTATGAAACAAAAATTCAGCAGCCAAGCTTCAACTTTTTGAAAGAAAATAGGATTATGTTGTTTCAAGCTGTATGAAAAGCACTACAAAGTTACAATAAAGAAAACTAAAAAAAAAAAAAAAAAGAAACTCATAAGCTGTTACTAACATCTGTCACCACACAATATCTCAGTAACTATACCTTCATAGAGGTTTAGCACTTCTTCACTCTAAAACACCATCTGTTCTGATCTATAAAAACTAAACTTGTACTATGGGGGGAAAGTTCTTTAAAAAAAAAGTCATAAAACTTGTGTATATTAGTAGCTATAACAAAATATGCATAGAAAGAATATTGTACTAATTATAAGCAAAGCAATGCTATTGGCCAGAAAAACTCTCAATTGCATTTGACCATTGCATTAGAGTTTCTCAGCAAGGAGCTGAAACAGATCAGGCAGCTGCTCAAGGACACTGACTTTATGGAAAAGTCTAGACTTCTCTTAGACACAACTGCAAACAAGCTGACATTTCAGCAGATCCAGTTTCCAGATGAGTCTGGAAAATCTCTTCTAAGAAAAAACGCACAGATAAACTAATTCTCCTTAAACAGAGCATTCAAAGCATAACTTTAGTCTGTAGTCAGTTCKATCTAGTGTTTCTCACCTGCACTCCTCAGGAAATGACTGACGACAGTGAACAAAACTGAGACTATAAAAGGAAACAAAACTGTCGGCAGAGCATGTCTTGCTCTTTTGATGTCTGCAATTAACATCTCAGTCTTGTCAGACTCAAAAGTGAAGTCTGTGTGTATTTTAAAGAGTTGGATCCAAAACTACATTTCTATTAATGGCAAAATTTGCAATAATACAGGAACTCTTTATAAAAAATTGACATCATCATCTGTTTCTGCCAGTACTAGGGTGCCACCTCCAGAGCGCTGCCCTGATTGGTGGACTTGAAAAAAATGGAAGCACTTATTGGGGTTTATACATGTGTGCACCAAAAAGATAAGGAAGAAAAGGGTAACGAGGAAGCACACCCTTCGGAATTAATTTGGAATTAAAGTTGCCCTAAGAAGCATGCTTTTAGAAATGAAAGCACTGGTTAAAGGAAGCATTTTTCTGTCAGCATTTCAGCCTTTAGGCTGCTTAGAATACTTCCAGGGAAAGAAGCTTTTGGCAAGCAAAGCATTCAGCAAGACCACGGTTAAAGCGAACAGCACAGGAAAGTGGCCCCCTAAGAGCCGGGATCTGCCACCATTACTCACCCTGAATGGTAATACTGGGCTTGTAGCTAATATTGCTTACCGATAGGGAAGGTCTGGGCTGCCCTGTTCAAAGCAAGAGAATCTCTTGAAAGTGAACAAAGTGCTTCCCAGCACTCTACAATAACCTCCCCTGCACTGCTCAAAGCTTCAGCTTCAACAACACCTTGCAGAGAGTCTGCAAGTGACCAACTCCTTATAGAACATGTCTATGTACCTATGAATCTGTAGATTCATATGGATTCATAGATTTGTGAATCAAAATGGCACAGTGACTGGGAAACAATAAATAGCCTGAGTGTCTCAGCAGGGCYCTGGCATGAGAGGTTCTTGGCAAACCCGTGCAAGCCAATGATGCCGCTTCAGACATGGCAAGCCCTCATAGCGAGCACTACATTATTGGTGATTTTACTACTTTGGACTTTTGCTTCTGCTGTTTTCACAGATGATTAGAAAGACCAACTTCCAAGCATTCAAAATTCCTGGATGGAATGTATGCAGGCAGGTATACACACAGCAATTCTTACTAATCTAGAGGGAAGAAAAAAAAAAAAAAAAAAAAAAAAAAAAAAAAGGTAAAAATGGGCAAAATATTCCCATCCAGGTCTCTTTGTTAAGAGCAGCAGCAGTAAAAACTCCAAAACCAAAATCAACTTGAAACACATGAAAGAAATTGTCAATTTGATTATGAAAATCAATACAAAATGTTTGCAAGACTTGTTTGAATTATAGTTATTAGTCACTTGATATTAATATAAGTATCTTTAACCAGAAAATGGCAAAATGGCAAACAGTTACTGCAAGAAATCAAGATGCCTTTAGTCTTTTCATCAGTAAGATCCAACACTGAAGTAGATTTCCTTTGGGTTAATAGTCACAACAAACCAAACTTGTGAGCAGCTGCTGGAGAAAATAGCTCATTGATGTTACGTTGGGAAAGAACATGAGTCTTGCAATCTGTGCAGCAACAAAACGCAATAAGAACTGTACATTTGATTTTAGATGAAATATTCGTTTAAAATGTTTGCAATTCTAGTACAGTCTTTACTCAATATTTCTTTCATTGCTATAACTTTGTAGAAACACCTTTTGAGCAGTGGGTAAGCTTCCAAAATAGAACAAATGATAGAGTAGGAAAGACAATTTATAATGCATAATAGATGGARGAACAGGTGCATCGGGAAGTTTTATATTTTGGACAGATTGTAAAACTGAAATATTCAGATGTGACTGGATTATCAAGTCTACAAGCAGAGGCAATGTGAGGCAAAAAGAACTAAAGCAAACTGTGCTTTATTTGATAAGTATTATTCTTCTGATTTGAAATACTGGATACTAGTTAGAAATATTCTGAGAGAAAAAAAACAGATCAAAAAGCACATCCAATAAACACAGGGAAACTTCCCTRTTTTTACTACTGCTCCTTTATTTTTGTTGTTAATATCACCTAACTTACCTTACATAACAATTATTTCTTTATGTGCACAGCTACATCAAGTCACTAAAGGTTCCTTAGACTTAAACTGAAGGGCCCAAATGAATAACACATCTCATTAATCCCAGTTAAAATCTAAGCTCTAGCAACAAATAGGTGTTGCAAGTGGCTATCTGCTTACAMCACGTCCAGTTGTACATCAGGTCATTGTCTCATGGAACTTCCTCATTCATTGTTACCTCCCCTACACTCTTAAAATACCCAGTCTAGTCTTGTTAGGTATTTAATTCTCGGTGGATTTACTGTCTTGACTGAATAACATGGGAGGTTCACAGGATCAGGACTGCCAGCTCAATGGGACACAAAGCTTGCAACCAGGCTTTCTGTAAGAGCAGAGGAATTTTCAGGGGAAACAAAACACATCCATCTGTATCAAGCTGGCATTAAAGTAACCCCTGATCTCCTAGGCTTCTGACAGAGTTTGTGTCAGGGACTGTTGCAGCTATTGAGAACTATTAGAGCCAATGCCAGGTATTCATTGCTCTGCCTGCAAATATATAGACTGGCCTGCATTTCTGTCAGCTAGTTCTGATCCTTTACATGAGACTTCTGCCATTCTGCCAGTCTAATTCTCTTAAAAAAAAAAAAAAAAAAAAAAAAAAAAAAAAGCTTTTTAATGAGGAAAAGCAGTAAAACGTACCTTAATTGACTCAGTCCCATGAGAAAATAAAAACATGTCAAATGTCTTTAAAACTTACTGGTTTGGTAAGAACAGAATCAGAGAAGGGCTGAGGTCAGAAGGAAAATCTGGAGATCATCTAGTCCAACTCTCCTGCTCAAGAAGCKTAAAAACAAAGGTAGAAGACTCTAAGAACATTACAGTAGTTGTTCAACATCTGGAAGCAAAAGATCCAGTACTTGTAAAGCATTCCAAAAAGTATCATAACTAAAATAATGTGTTCAAACCCAGAAGGAAGGAAGGAAGGAGGGCTTTTTTTTTTTTTTTTTTTTTTTTTAAATGATAGCTTAAACAGTTTCCTTCTGCCTTCAACCTGTGACATCTAACCACACATACCACACTGCTCATGCCATCCTCATTCGCATCCTTAATCTCACCAACGCAGTGAGTTTTGGCTACCTCTCAATGCTATTACTTCTCTCTACAGTAAGTGCTTACGTTCTTGTTAAAATGGTGGAAAATGATGGTACTATATCTATGGGTTATACGTATTTACATATGTAGCAGGCCTTTCTTTTTCCTCTTGACATTATAAGTCAAATTAACTTGAAGGCTTTATACAGTCTTAAATGCTTAGGTATCATAAGTCATAGCCACAATCCCTTGCCTTCTCTTCCTCAGTATGTGGTTTCCCTGCTATGAATGAGTATAATCACAGAGCTGTATAATGTTACTAGTGGGATATCTTTGCACTAAGTGATACATTTGCTAATTAGAACAGTGGGGCAAATTTACTTGACTCATTCTTTAATCAAGGGAAATATTCTTGATATAGCAGTTTTGTAGCAGCAAAGAGTGGCTAGGGACTTCAGGATGTCTTCTGAAACAGTTGGGGAAAAACAAAAAACACACACATACAGTGGGGATATGTTTTTTCTGCTGACAATCAAATCTGGCTTACAATGCACAACCATCCTTCCCTATTAGGGAGAGATGGGACATTTACTTACGTGCACACAAAAACACACACTATCACAAGCTTTTTTGAATTTGGATTAATTTTAAGTCTCTATCTCCACTCATTTTATTCATTATTAACATGATTCTAACTGCCACGAGGTTTAACTTGCTTAAAATTTTCCTCATCTTCTATTACATAGTTTTAATTTATTGGAAGAGATTTAAATTTTTTGACATTTTAAATGCCTACACTTTCAGTTATGTTCTAAGTGTGTAAGGCCAACACCAAAGTAGCAACTCCTGACAAAAGTATAATTCAAATATTTCTTAGCTGCTTTAGGCATAAGTAAAGGAGGAAGTAAAAGTTCTCTGAATTAAGTAATGATCTGAACTCATTTTCTAGGTTATGCGGATTGCTGTAGAGAGCCTTCTTGCATAACCTCAGTGTTAAATTTGAAGAAAAAATGCTAGTATATCCAACTCTTAACAGACTGAAAAATTGAGTTACCCTTTAAGAATCTTGATGTCTGCTTTAAGCTCACTAGTTTCACATACTT